GGACTCCTCGCCCTCCCGTCTCCCACCGCTCCGCACACCCCTTCCGCTCGGCGGAGGCTTCGGAGGAGGTGGCCAGAGGCCTTCGAAGGACTGGAGGCCAGGGCTGGACCTGAACGCTGTTTTGCTGGACGTCGGCCGTGCTTTGTTTTTCCTTGTGGGAGGGAGGTGCAGGAGAAGAGGTGGTGGAAAACGAGCAACAAAACAAAGCAAAATCCAACAACAACGTTTAGGTCCAGCCCTGCCGGAGGCCTCTGGAGCCTTTTGGAGGTCTACTGGGGGCCACAGGCTCCCTCCCTCCTAAGAGCCCTCCTTCTCCGTCCCCTTCCCTGTCTTCCTGCTCTTTCTCGCCCTCCTCCCTCGAACAGGTGTCGACGCGACGGGCAGCGTGAACGAGTGGAACGACAAGACTGAGGAGCTGACTGGCTACACGCGGGCGGAGGCGACGGGTCGGCTCTTCCTCGTCCCTCTTCTTTTCCCCCTTCTGTCTTCCTATCCCTCTTCTTCTTTTCCTCTTGTTGTCTTCCTCTTCCTGTCTTTCTCTTCCCCTCGCTGCCTGCATCTCAGTCTTTATCATTTTATCTTCCTCACCTCCTCTGTTTTCTCTCCTCTTCCTTTTTCTCTTCCAGTTGTCCCGTCCTCTTCCTTTTTCCCTGCCTTTCATTTCCTGTCTTCTTTTTCTTTCCTCTTCTTCCTCTTCCCCTTCCTGTGTGGATTCCTCTTCTTTGCTTCCCATCTTACTCGAAATGTCTTTAGGCCTTCTTCCTCTTCCTCTTTATCTTCCTATGCCTCTCGTCGTCTCTTCCTCGTCTTATGCCCCTTCCTCTTTCTCTCTATCCCTCTTCCTGTTTTCCTTATCTTTTTTCATATTCCTTATCCTTTTCCTCTTTCCTCGTCCCTCCTCTCCTCATGTCCATCTTCCCCCGCCTTTTCCTCTCATCATTCCCTTGTCTTCCCTCGCCTTTATCAAAAGGCTGCCGCCTCTGCCGCCGATCCCATACACAGGTTTAGTAGTAGCAGATGTACTGAGAGTAGCATGGGAAGTGGTTGCAAGGGCAGTCGCAGTCGGAATCGAACATAGACAGGCACGCACGAGGAAGAGTTGTCATCGCAACGGATGGGGCCAACGATCAGTCGACGTTCTTTGCTGAGGCGGCCGATCTCACCTTTGTCCTCGAGCGGTGAGACCAGAGTGGGGCGGAGGTCGATCGCGCCGTTGTTTTCGAGCGGTGAGACCAGGCGAGACCGAAGGGGACTGGAGCGAGGAGAGCAGAAAGGTGGGGGGGTGGGGGGTGGGGTGGGCGGGATGGGGTGGAAGGGAACAGGGACGGGGGTGGCGGCGCCGCGGCAGGTGCGGCCGCGCCGCGGCAGGGGCCCCCCCCCCGCCGGCCAGGCTCGTTCCCATTCTTCAAGGCTCGCGTGTGCGCGCGAACAGGAACAAAAGGTGTCGCGGGTCTCGGAAGCCCCCCAGATTCCACGACGCGTACCCTAAATGTTACAAGTTTCGCAGAGTCCAGAGGCCCCCTGGTCCCGCAGGTCTGGCAGACCCACATGTTCCACAGGTCCATTTTTCACGGCAATGTGATGCTTCGCATTGGTATGCTACTGTTTACCCAAATTCCGATGTGCAGGTTCATGTTGTTTTATGATGCGACGTGTCGTGTTGGTTGAGTGTGGTGCGAACTACGCGGTGCAATCGAGGCTGCGTTGGTGGCGCTGGCGACGGTCATCCGTGAGCATTGGGCTCCAAGTAACTGTCGCGGACTCGTAGAGCGAGGGGGGTGTTGGTCCTTGAGATGCAGATGCGGCGCGAAGTGGAGGCCGTTGTGGATCTGAAGAAAGCCTGGGCAGCGATCGCGGACACGTCGCCCATTCCTGGGCGTCGTCCCGCGGCAGGTGTGGTGACGGCGTGTGACGGCCAGGACGCGTCTCCTCTCTCCCCCGTTTTCATGCCTTAGCCTTCGCGTTTTGTCCCGCCGCGTTCGCCCTCGCGCTTGCCCTGTGCGCGTTTCTCTGGTCGCGTGGGCGATTGGAGCAGCGGGCGGAGTCGGCGGCAGAGGCGGCCGATCTCACCGTTGTCTTCGAGCGGTGAGACCAGAGCGGGGCGGAGGCTGGCCGCGCCTTCGTCCTCGAGCGGTGAGGCAAGGCGAGACTGAAGGGACTGGAGGGAGGAGACGAGAAAGGTAGGGGGGTGGGTGGGCGGGATTGGGTGGGACGCGACAGGGGGGGAAATGGTCCCGCCGCGGCAGGCGCGGCCGCGCCGCCACAGGAAGTTCCGCCGAAGGTCCCAGTGACGCAGTTCGCAGGCGGTTCCCCCGCCCAGCACAGCGTTTCGTGGCCTCAGAGGGAGCTCCACCGAATGTCCCAGAGGCGCAGTTCGCATGCGGTTCCCCCGCGTAGGACAGCGTTTCGTGGCCCCAGAAGGAGCTCCACGGAAGACGATACCCACAACCGCGGTATTCACAACTGCATATGGTTGGGTTCTTCGCCAGGCAATGTTTCCCGTTCTTGGGTTTTTTTGGGGGGCCTCCAGAGATTCCTGGGGGCCTCCCACAGGAGACTTTCCGAGACTTTCTCCTCCCCCTTTTTTCCCCCAGCGTTGGCCAGGCGATCTGTATAGTAAGCTCGGACAGTCCGTTGTTCGTTCCCCTCATCGTGTACGTGACCGTGTATACGATCACCATTGCAGTCTCTGCCAGTGTTCGTCTTGGGTCAAGCGCGGGGCGTCGCTGAGGTTGTGTGCGCGGAAGGCTTGGCTGGGCAGATGTCTCGTTTTGACATCGTGTGATAGGGTACGCGCGAGCATATCATTCACATCGCTAGTGCAGTCTCAGTCGGTGCTCGTTTTGGCTCAAGCGCGGGGCGTCGCTGAGGTTGTATGCAAGGATGGGCGGGCCGTTCCTCGCTGTCTGCAGTTAGTATCAAAGAATTGCGCCATATGTATCGTTTGGCCATCTCGTCAATGAACACAATCATGTCGTTCACATCGCTACATGGGTTTCATCTGGTTCAATTGTGGGCTGCTGTTCAAAATGAAACGTACGAATGCCCAGGAAAGTTAAAACAATCCTCGGCTGCTTGGCGCTCGCATGTCGAGAACGGCTTCGGCAGAGAAAACAGTGGCTGCCACTGGCAACAGGGTTTCCGAGAGAGCTGGACATTTGAGCCTCCAGCAGAAGGGGGGGCAACACTGGCTGCATGACAACTGTTGAGCTGGGAAGATCCGAGGGGCCCTCCATCAAGAGCCGCACGTGAGAGTGTGAATCCGACGGGGCTAAGGATTCCGAAGACTGGATCATCGTCCACATCGTTTGGTAGCACGGCTTCCACGGCGGTGATGAGAACGATCGCCGCGAAGCCCCCCAAGTGGTGGAGTGGAGCCGCGAAGCCCCGCTGGTGGAGTGGAGCAGGGGCAGCAGAAAAGGGTGTGGGCAGCACGGCCTGCTGAAGAGGACTGCAGCGTGTTCGAGGCGGCTCTCCCCGCCCCCCCCTCTCCTCCTCGGCGGCCGCTCGAGTGCGCCCAGTGCCTGGCGCGGCCCGCCGGCTCTGCAGTCGCGCTCGCGTCGGGCAGCGCTGTCGACGAAGCAGGTTCGAAACCGCTGCGAGAGAGAAGGCCCAGAAGGCGGTGGCGGAGCGCTACAGGAGACGAGGCGTGAATCGATTTAGGAGCAGCGCTCTGGCAGAAACTGGCGGGATACGCCCTCAAATCTAAGCCCCCATACATAGGGTGCGAGTAGATTGGGTCGGAGGATCGCGCCGCGTCACAGATGCATCGGCGATGTGGCTCGATGCGGAGCCCGGTTTTCTCCGCGTCGGCGTCGCCGATGCATCGGCGACGCATGTGTGATACATTGGCGATGTGGCGTTATCTTTCGACCCCATCTACTCGGACCCCGTCTGGGAGGTCTCTATCAGCGCAAAGAGAATAAAATATTCATCCAGGCGGACTGGTGTGTCCGCCGATTTTGCGTTTGCATTCGCGGCCGGGCACGGAAACTGCAGTGGCATTTTTCAGGTTGTTCAGATCGGAGTCGCGTGTTCTTGTTCGCAAGGACTGTCATGCGTTCTGGTTTCCGGGCTCAGGAAGTCTCTCGGAGCATTGTTACATAGGGAACCAGTCGATTATGTGGAGGTGATTCGGGGGGAATGGAATCAGTCATGTCTGCATGCAGTATGCTTGGGCACCTGGGCAAAGCGTCGTTACAGATCGGGCGATTCTCTTGAATGTGCTGGTAAGCGCTACATTCGATGAATTGGAAGAGCCATGGATGCCGAGGATGAATGAACAGGAGGAAGTGTTCGAGCAGTTGATGAAAACGACCGGAATGTGTTCAACGTTGTGTGTGTGTGTGTGTGTGTGTGTTTGTCTGTGCGTCTTTGTGTGTTTGGCGTCCCGCTACCTCCTGGGGGCTTTTGGGGAAACTCGGGGTGAATTTCCCCCGTCGCCACGGAGGGCTTTACACACATGACCGTTGACACCCCCGAGTAAAACACGCACTGGCCTCGTCTTTGGAGGGCCCAACACCCCCGTGGTCATCTGGGCCGGCGATTTTTCGCATCAAGCGCGAGCTTGCTGCTTGCTGCTTGCACCGAGTGGGCAAGGTTCACTTCCCTTATTCTCCCCCCTCAGTCCCCTGTCTCCCTCGCCTTTCTTCGGCGTCACCCCAACATACTTATACTATATGTGCGTCGCCCCCCTGGGGGCGATGCGCGCACCGAGAAATCTTATAGTATATGCGTCGTGGCGGGCGCATTCTGGCCACACCGCTCGGGAAACGATATACTACAAGATGGGTATACTATATGTTCGGGTCGGACGCGCGCCTCCAAGGAGGACATATAGTATTAGTATGTCCATGTGCGTCCCATCCCTCGCCTTTCTTGTCCCCCTCCCCCCTTGGTTTCCCCTCCTCCGTGCATCGCCCCGCCCCGGACAGGCGATGGGGCGCCCGTTCGTGGAGAAGTTTGTCGACCCCGAGCGGCAGGCCGAGATCAGCGAGGCCGCGGCCCGGCAGCGGGAGGAGGGCGAGGTTTGGATTTCGGGTCGGGCGAAAGGGGGGGATTGGGAAAGGGGGGGTTACGAAATTTGCTGCATGCAGCTGGTTTCGGCCTCACCGAGGGGCCCATTCCTCGATACCTAGCCGCCTCCGGCGCCGGGAGGCGCCGGGAAAATCAGCTACGTGAGCTGATTCTCAAACCCCCCCTTTGCTATCCCCCCTTTTCGCCCGACCTGGGGATTGGACACTTCTGCTGTGCAAGTTGGGCTAAGCTGGCGGCAGAACAGGGACCGAGGGGCACTGCGTTGCTCGTGCGAGGGGTGGCTGCGGTAGCTTCGTGTCGTGTCGACGTGGCGGCGACCCCAGCGCGGGCGTTTAAGGGGTTGAACGGTTTGAAGCGGTCGACATCGAACGATGTGCGATTTCGGAGAGCCGCGATCGTTCCAGGCTGGGCGATCCACTTGGTGTCGGGAACCAGCGCCCATGTCGTCACGGCACGAGCTGTGAAGCGGCGAGCATCACAGACCCACTCACTGTATATTTCGCTGCCAACTATTGGTCTGTCCTTTAGGCTTCCGCAAGATTGGCACGGGGAGGAGGAAGAGGAGGAGGAGAGGGAGGAGGAGGACGGAAAAGGGGCACTAAGGACATGTCGAATGCTTCGGGGTGGGGTGGATGTTTTAGAATCCATGGGGGTTATTGAGTGTGTTCCAGATCGGAAGGGAGTGGAGAAGGGGTGTAAGAGGAGGACGAGAAGGACCTGGAAGAGCAGGGAGGGGGTGATGTGAGTAGGAGCAGGGTGATGATGCTGATGATGCAGATGATGCTGATGGTGATGATGCAGAATATGATGATGTTGCTGATGATGATGATGATGATGGTGGTTACGTTGATGATGACGTGGATGATGCTGCTGCTGATGATGAGGATTTATATATAATTGTTCGTGGTGATGATCATGGCAATGTTGATGCTGAGATGCATGATCATGATGATACTGATGATACATCAGACAGGTTATTAGGCTAATGTTGACGATGGTTCGGATACGTGATACGGTTATGATCATGCTGGTGCTGGTGAGTATACTGATCATTATTATCCAGCCGCCCGCGGCAAGTCCCGCCACCGTGATGGCCCAGCATTCTGGTTGGCGACTGCTCGAGGGTGGCATAGCCCTGATGAACATGGAGATGCAGATGATGGTGGTGTTGTTGCTGCTGCTGCTTTTGATCTGGCTGTTGCTGTCGTCGATGATACTGTTTGCGACGACGACGACAATGATGACGCTGCTGATGAGGATTCTGATGGTGCTGATTTTAATGATGATGAGGTTGACGCTGACGCCGATGATGATACTCATGATGAGACTGTTGATGATGCTGTCGTCGTTGAGGATACTGATGCTGCTGATGCTGATAATGCTGATGATGATGATGATGATGATGATATTGTTGTTGTTGTTGTTGCTGCTGTCTTTGACGGTGATGGTGTTTGCGAGGGTGCTGTTGATGTTGCTGCTGCTGCGGCTGATGCTGATGACGATGCTGATGATGCGGCGGGTGAATCTGCCGAGGGTGATGATGAGGAGGATGCAGATGATGATGATGCTGATGCTGAACATGATGATGATGAGGAGGAGGATGAGGAGGGGGAGGATGATACGGACGATAATGTTGATGCTGACGCTGACGCTGCTGCATATGACTATGTTGTTGCTGATGATGCTTAGGATGTTGATACTGATGATGATGCTGATGAGGATGATGACGACGACGACGACGACGACGGTGATGATGATGATGATGATGATGATGATGATGATGATGATGATGATGATGATGATGGTAGTGGTGGTGGTGGTGATGATGCTGCTGCTGATGATGATGAGGATGCCGATGCTGCTGATGATGCCGACGCTGACGGTGATGACGCTGCTGCTGATGCTGATGATGCTGATGCTGCTGCTGCTGCTGATGATAATGATGATTATGAGGATGATGATGATGAGGAGGATGAGGATGATGAGGATGGGGATGATGATGAGGAAGGTGATGCTGACGATGATGCTGATGATGATGATGATGATGATTATTATCATTATTATTATCATCATTATTATTAGTGTGGGGAGGGGGAGGAGGTGGAGGATGAGGATGAGGAGGAGGAGGAGGAGGAGGAGGAGGAGGAGGAGGAGGAGGAGGAGGAGCAGGGGGAGGAAGATGAGGAGGAGGAGGCGGAGGATGAGCAGGATGAGGAGGAAGAGGAGGAGGAAGAAGAGGAGGAGGAGGAGGAGGAGGAGAAGTAGGACGCGGAATTCTGTCACATGTGTCACCTTGCGTCTTCACTATCTGAGGCGCTCTCGTGGCACTTGTTCGGGCCGTCTTGGGGCTGTCTTTGCCTTCCGTGAGGCAGTATCTGGGGTACATTGGGGCCGTCGTGGGGACCTTTTACGCCGTCTTGCGTTTCACGGGAGGCCCGCCTGGGTCGTCTTGGGGCCATTTTGAATGCCTCTTGGGCCATCCTTGGGCCTTTTGGGCCATCTTTGGGCCCTCTTGGGGGCCTGTTGTGCCTGCCGTTTCGGGGCCATCTTGGAGACTTTCTGGGCCATCTTGAGCTGACGGAAGCCTGACAAGGGGAGATTGCGAACATCAGTGACAATCCACGGGGACTCATTGATTTTGGCTTCTTCGGACCCTGTTGGAGGTTCTCTTGCGTCCCTTTTAGGCCTTCTTAGAGTCAATGCACCCCTTCCGCACCACCAACATTTCGCCCTGCCTGCTCTCTCTCTCTCTCTCTCTCTCCTTGGGCGCACTGCCTGTCGTACTGACTGGCTACTTCTTCTGCTTCCGCAGCTATTTGGCTCTAGGGAAACGGAAAAGGAGCGAGCCTGCGGCGCGCCCGCGTGCGTTGGCCGGCGGGCCAGCCTCTTCCCTTCAGTGCTACCTTAGTGTATGCTTGACGGCATTATGCCTTCTTCCCCATGTCATTTGCGGAGCCCACCGACCATGATATATTATTATGTGAACATATTGCAGGGATTGTGCATATCCAGGCAGAAGACTGGTTATCAGCCGAAGCTCTCCAGGAGCTCGTCTTCGGTGGTGCGGCCTTCTTCCTAACAGTCAGAGAGGTAGCATTGGTGGCTTTACCAAAAAGGGGGCTTCGCAGGTGCGCTCTGATTATCCACGAGCGCCTAACGCATGGGTCGGGTGGCTCACGCCCCTGGGCCGTGGTTAGTGTCCGCTCAAGGAAAGGGGGGCAATCGCCCGGCTTAGCTGCGGTTGCCGGCGGTGTTACGAAAGAGGGGGCAGTTGTTTCCTCTCTTCTTTGAAGGCCAAAACAGCAGGTTCTCAGAGCCTGCCTTGACATCTTCTGGCAATTTTGGTGTGTGCGAAGGAGTCCCATAATACAACCAGACACGTTGTATTTTTGCATTCAAGAGGTACGCGTGGTGTTTTCGCACAGTCGGAAACAGAGGTGCTGTTCGTGACAGCGTCGGCCTGCCCCGTGTGGTTGGTTGTGGCAGGTCCTGAAGAGGATAGCCAACCACACGCCGAAACGCTGGAGACGGACTGGACCAGGGGTGCCCGAAAGAGTGGGCGTACTCAGTCCTAGACCACAGGGTGACCAAAGGAAGTTGCGCATTCAACTTCTCCTCGGCGACACTGGCGCGACATAGCCGTTGCCAGGCGAGACTGAGGCGGCTGTACAAATAATGCTTGTATGTTGCACTAATATGGATATGCTTGGCAAAAGACTCTTAGAGGCATCTTGGGCCGTCTTGAAGCCATCTTATCGTTATTGACGAGGCATCGTGGCTTCGGGAGCGCGGATCCATTGTTTTAACTAGGAATCGTGGCCTCGCGAGAATGGCGGCGATGCACGCAAATAACGCGGCCAGGGGGGTACATCATTAGAACGCAGAACACTTGCCAGGCAGCCCTTGAAATTCTTTCGCGCCTCAGCGTGCACGAGGCACGGCGGCGGCTTCTGATGATGATTATGGTGGTGATGGCCACTGCATCACAGAAAGAACTCACAGGCAAACCAACACGCACCACCACGACGACGACTGCTAAGAAAACGAAAGCCCACCCCGACCCCCAGTCCGGGCCCCATTTCCGAACCCGCGATCCAGGGGTCGGGACTGGGGGATGGTGGTGGTTTTTCGGCGTCCAGGATCTGAAAAAAACCCACCCCCAACCCCGAGTCCCGACCCCTCGAATCGCAGGCTCGGGGATGGGCGTCGGGACTGGGGGTGGGGGTGGGCTTTCGTTTTCTCGGCATTACGACGCCGACGACGACGACGGCGACGCAAAGCTTGGCGCACAGCACTCCGCTGAACGCTGCTGCGGCGCCCGCCCCGGAGCACCGCCACGGCACCGCCCCCCCTTTCCACCCGGAGGAAGGAAATGGAGGAGGAGGCGGAGAATGAGGAAGGAGAGGAAGAGGAGGAAAAAATGGAGGAGGAGGAGGAGGAGGAGGAGGAGGGGGAGGGGTAAGGAGGAGGAGGAGGAGGAGGATGGAGGAGGAGGAGGAGGAGGAGGAGGAGGAGGAGGAGGAGGAGGAGGTAGGAGGAGGAGGAGTGAGGAAATGGAGGTAGGAGAGGAGGAGCAGGAGGAGGAGGAGGAGGAGGAGGTAGGAGGAGGAGGAGGAGGAGGAGGAGGAGGATGAGGAGGAGGGGGGGAGGGGGGAGGGGGAGGGGGAGGGGGCAGAGGGAGGGGGAGGTAGGGAGGAGCGCCCTCGAGACTTGCTGAGCCCTGGGGCCCGTTTCGGCACCCTCTCCCTCAACTTCGTCAGGGCCACCGGCGGTTGACGCGTCCCAGAGCTAAAACGCTCCATGCGTCACGGCTCAGAAAACCAGAAAACTGGGAAGACAGGCTCAGGGATACGGAGGACGATGATTATGCAGATGATGATGATGATGATGATGATGATGATGATGATGATGATGATGATGATGATGATGATTATGATGATGAACATGATGATGATTCTGATGA